TGCGGCTGTGCCTGTCTTAGGTTGCTCTAATCTCTCAGAGAGTCTTACCCGTCATTGGCTACCCAGCCATCCACCTGGGGGGCACACAGGCAACTTACTTGTCTGCTGTCAAGTACGCTGCTGGTGCATCTCCTCTCAGTATCAATTTCGCCTTGGCTGGCATCCCCGTGGCTGTGTCTGTCGTAGGTTGCTCTCAGCTCTCAGAGAGTCTTACCGTCATTGGCTAACCAGCCATCCACCTGGGGGGCACACATGCAACTTACTTGTCTGCCTGTCAAGTACACTGCTGGTGCATCTGCTCCCGGTATGAATTTAGCCTTTGCTGGCCTCCCGCGGCTGTGCCTGTCTTAGGTTGCTCTCGTCTCACAGAGTCTTACCCGTCATTGGCTAACCAGCCATCCACCTGGGGGGCACACAGGCAAGCTTGTCTGCCTGTCAAGTATGCTGCTGGTGCATCTGCTCCTGATATGAATTTAGCCTTGGCTGGCCTCCCGCGGCTGTGCCTGTCTTAGGTTGCTCTAATCTCTCAGAAGTCTTACCCGTCATGGGCTAACCAGCCATCCACCTGGGGGGCACACAGGCAACTTGTCTGCCTGTCAAGTACGCTGCTGGTTCATCTGCTCCCGAATTGTATGAATTTAGCCTTGGCTGGCATCCCCGTGGTTGTGCCTGTCTTAGGTTGCTCTCATCCCTCAGAGTCTTATCTGTCATGGCTAAACCAGCCATCCACCTGGGAGGCATACAGGCAACTTGATTGCCTGTCAATTACACTGCTAGTACATCTGCTCCCAGTATGAATTTAGCCTTTGCTGGCCTCCCTGCAACGTACTTTCCTGTCAATGACGCTGCTGCTGCATCTGCTTGTAGTGCTTCGTGGGAGCAGACTGGCTTTTGTATAAATTTAGCTATTGGTCGCTGCCCTACAGCTGTGCCTGTCTTAGGTTGCTCTTGTCTTCCACAGAGTCTTACCCATAATTCACTAACCAGCCATCCACCGGCACATTTTTGGCTTTTCCCTTGGAGAGAAGCATGAGTTAGCCAGTTAGAAGTTATACCTATTGTTATTTCCTGCGCCTTTTGCTTTTGCTTAGGCAGGATTTATATATTACACCCTAGAATGTTATTTTACAAGTTATCTGCATTATACCTAGAAAACAATATGGAAAAGGGGAGACAGGTTTTCTGCTAAGCTTCAAATCACACATCTGTGAAGCAATAGTTACATGGGCTTGTTTGGAGTCAGAAAAATTTAGTGGCATGTAAAACTATCAAAGAAAAATATTTTATTTTCAACTGACAGGTTGAGTATCCTTATCCAAAACGCTTGGGCCAAGAAGTGTTTTGGATTTCTGATTTTTTCAGATTTGGGAATATTTACATATACATGAGCTATCTTGGGAATGGAACCCCAAACTAAATGTAAAATTCTGTTATGCTTTATATATACCTTATATATACAGCCTGAAGTTAATTCTACAAACTATTGTAAGTATCATGAACAAAGTTTGTGTTAAGTACTCACAAGTGGAATTTCTTACACGTGGTGTCATGTTGTTGCTCAAAAGGTTTCAGATTTTGGAGCACTATAGATTTCAGATTTTCAGGTTAGGAATCTGTAATAAGAAAAACAACAATTATATCTTTTTCTTTGTATGTGTTATAATATTCCTTATATTTCAGTTACATTACCTTTATATTTATTGAGGTTGCTTATCACACTGTTTAAAAGATCCAATAGTTTATAAAATTACATTACAAAGAAACAGTAGTCCTCTCCTCCCACATTTCACAAGTCTTATAGAAAAGCAGTCTCAACAATTGTAGCCTTCTCTTAAATAAACTCTGAGAAAAGGAAAAAAAACCACTTATCTGAAGAATGTAAAGTGCTTTTAATTACCAGGCCCAGAGAGACATTAAAATGAGACAGCAATCATGCCCTACTCCTCCCTTCTTTGAGCTATGTAGTCCTTTCCTGAAACTGCCTGTCATTTCAGATGTATAATAGTATAAAACAACATTTTAAGGCTAATCTTTGTATGCATTATTTTTCACTCATTTAACATCACACACACACACACACACACACCCTACTTAATGAATAACTGGAATACATGAATAAATGAATAATTTGAAACATATTGAATAGGTAGAAAATAAAATGTAGTGTGCAATGATTTGCTCCTACAAAGGAAGTTGTAAAAATTTACGTAATGAAATACTTGCATGAATCTGGAAGCATATATGTTATTTGATGCCAGTTTCTGACTCTGCAGAAGTGGCCAGATTAGAAAGTGATGCCTTCAATCACAGAACTCAAATGATCAGATCCATGAGCCAGTGGGTAGAAATCTAGAGCAGAAATCTCAAGGCTAAGAATCACCTTAAGAATTGAAAGGGCTCTAAAAAGTCTCCTTGATTTACCAAATATCAGAAAAATTATCATGTAAAATTGTTTCTTTCCTTCAAAACATATAAGTTAAATGGTTGCTGGCTTTTGTTAATAACAAAGAAAAGCATGCCTCTTGATGGCAACCATACAAAAAAAGGTAACAATAATGAACTTCAGTGTGAAATTAACCATAAGGAAAGTGAAGTCAAAAAGGGCTGAAAAATTACTGATAAAGTTCTGATTCAGACCCAGTGAAAATTAGGAAAGACGTCTCAAAGAATGAAGTGGGGTACCACCTGATAGGAAACCCAGAGCATGTTGAAAGAGGAGGCTAATATAAGAGGACAAGTAGTGCCTGAAGTAACAGAGTCATAAATTATTCAATGCATCAGTGGAAGGAAACTTAGAATAAGTATGGGCCTAGCAAGTGGGTACAGATTAAAGAAGAGAAAATAAAATCAAATTAGTGGAAAGATTGAGAAAGCCAAAACCAAATATAGTAGATATATGCAAGGAATTGTCTTTTATGGGAAACAAATATTTTACAGTGCCTGATATATAAGAATTGCTCAAATATAAAGTTTAGAAATTTTCTAGGGAATCAGGGTGAAATGATTAAGTGAAAGAAATTAGGAAATAAGATAAGAAAACTTCAGGTCAAATCAAAGAGGATGATAACTCATTATTCAAACATTAGAAGTTTAAGAAAAGAAAATGGAAAATGAGAGGATATACATGAGATAATTAACTCAAGAAAATGTGCCAAGGCATAAGTTTCCAGTTTGAAACAGTTCACTTAGTACCTAGGTCAGTGGTTGAAATTAGATCCACATCAAAGAACATCGTGAGGACATTTCAGAATACCAGAGACAGAGAGCTCTTTTGAAGGATGCAAAACTAAAAAAATCAAATTACAAGGATTGGTAACATAGTCATGTGCCCAGACTTTTCACAGCAGTACTGGAAGTTAGATATCATACCTTCAAACTTCGGGGAGAAAATGGTAATAAGTCTAAAATTCAGTGCCATGTCAAGCTGTTAATTAAAAGTGTCTAAATTGAGATAGCCTTGGTATAATAATAGTTACTTCTTGGTTGGGGAGGTCGCTCAGGCCTCTAATCCTAGCACATTGGGAGGCTGAGATGGGCAGATCATGAGGCTAGGAGACTGAGTCCATCCTGGTTAGCACAGTGAAGTCCCGTGAGTCCAAACTTACTGTGTTTGGAGAAAGAGAAAACACTGCAATCTTAATAAATGTTCAAAAAGATCTAACTCTATGCTCCCTACAAGAAACTCACATTAGCTATAAGGAAACATATAGGCTAAATACGAAAGTACAGAATAAGATTTTCCATTAAAAACGTAATCAAAGAAGAGCATAGGTGTCTATACACATATCAAGCAAAATTACAGAACAGAGGTCTTGGGGGCAACCTCACACATCTACAACCATCTGATCTTTAACAATCTGACAAAACAACCAATGGGGAAAGGATTCCCTGTTTAATAAATGGTGTTGGAAAAACTGCCTAACAATTTGCAGAAAACAGAAACTGGACCCCTTCCTAACACCTTACACTAAAATCAACTCCAGATGGATTAAAGCCTTAAACATAATACCTAACACCATAAAAACCCTAGAAGAAAACCAAGGCAAAACCACTTAGAACATAGGCATAGGCAAGGACTTCATGACCAAAACATCAAAAGCATTGGCAACAAAAGCCAAAATAGACAAACGGGACCTAAGCAAACTCCCGAGTTTCTGTACAGCAAAAGAAACAATGATTAGAGCGAACCCACAACCAACAGAATGGGAAAAATTTTTTGCAATCTACCCATCTGACAAAGAGCTAATATTCAAAATCTACAAAGAACTAAAACAGATTTACAAGAAAAAAAACAAACCCATCCAAAAGTAGGAGAAGGATATGAACAGACGTTTTTCAAAAGAAGACATATATGAGGCCAACAAACATATTAAAAAATGCTCATCATCACTGATTATTAGAGAAATGCAAATCAAAACCATACTGAGATACCACCTCATGCCAGTTTCATTAAAAAATATGGAGACAACAGATGTTGGAGAGGATGTGGAGAAATAGAAACACTTTTACACTGTTGGTGAGAGTGTAAACTAGTTCAGCCATTGTGGAAGACAGTGTGGCGATTCCTGAAGGACCTAGAAATAGAAATTCCATTTGACCCAGCAATCCCATTACTGGGTATATACCCAAAGGATTATAAATCATTCTATTATAAAGACACATGTACACATATGTTAATAGTGGCACTGTTTACAATAGCAAAGACTTGGAGCCAACCCAAATGCCCATCTACGAATAGACTGGACAAGGAAAATGTGGCACATGTACACCGTGGAATACTATGCAGCCATAAAAATGATGAGTTCGTTTCCTTTGTGGGAACATGGATGAATTTGGTAACCATCCTTCTCAGCAAACTGACAGAAGAACAGAAAATCACACACTGCATATTCTCACTCATAGGCAGGTGTTAAACAATGAGAACACGTATCACACACTGGGGTCTGTTGTGGGGGGCAAGGAAGGACAGCAGGGTGTTAAAGAAATCAGGGAGGGATAAAATGGGGAGAATGCCAGATGTGGGTGATGGGGAGATGGACGCAGCAAACCATGTTGCCATGTGTGTACCTACACAACAATCCTGCATGATCTGCACATGTACCCCAGAACCTAAAGTACAATTAAAAACAACAAGAAACAAAAAAAAATCGACTTTAAGTCAAAAATTGTCACAAGAGAGGTCATTATATAATTACAAAGGTTTCAATTCATCAAGTGGATATAACTATTATAATGTATATGCAGCCAACATTGAAGCACCTAAGTACATGAGGCAAATATTACCAGATTTGAAGGGAGACAGACGGCAATATAGTAATGGTAGAGGATTTCCACATCTCACTTTCAACAATATACAGGTCATCCAGACAGAAAACCGTAAGGACCCAGCCAACTTTAACAACACTATAGACCAAATATAAACCTAACATTTCAATGAACTGCAACAGAATATATACTCTTTAAAAATGAACATAAAACAATTTCTAGCATAGATCCTATGTTAGACTACAAAATAAGCCTTAACAAATTTAAGAAGACTGAAATAATATTAAACATCCTTTCCACTCACAATGGTATTAAATTAGAAATAAATAACAGGAGAAAAATCCCAAATTTACAAATACGTAGAAATTAAACAACATATTCCTGAATACTGAGTCAGAGAAGGAATCAAAAAAGAAAGTGAAAAAGTATCTTGACACAAGTGAAAATGGAAAAACGACATATGACCCTTATGAGATGGTGTAAAAGCAGTTCTAAAAGGGAAGTTTATAGCGACAAGTGCCTACATTTAAAAAAAGAGAAATATTTCAAATGAACAATCTAATATTATACCTCAAATAACTAGAAAAGAGCAACTAAATACAAAGTCAGCAGAAGAAAATAAGAAAGAATGGAGCAGAAAAAAATGAAATAGGAGTCTAGAATGACAACAGAAAGATCAACAAAACTAAGATTTGATTTTGGAAAGATAACACTGACAAATCTTCAGTTATATGACAGAAAAAAGGAGAGATGACTCTCAGATAAGTATAATTATAAGACATTATAACTGGTAACAAAGAAAAACAAAGGATCATAAGAGACTATGAACAATTATGCACAAATTGGATAACCTAAAAGAAATGGATAAATTCCCAGAAACATACATCCAACAATATTAAACCATGAAAAAAATGAAACTAAGAGGAGACAAATAAAGAGTAACGAGATGAAATCAGTAATCAAAAACTCCTAACAAAGAAAGCGTCCAGGACCTGATGGATACGCTGGCAAACTCTAACTAACATTTACAGTAGAAAAATTGTTAATCTTTCTCACAAGCTTCAAAAAGAAATTGAATGAGAGGGAACATTTACAAACTAATTTATAAGGTCAGCATTACCCTGCTACCAAAGGCAGACAAGTACACAAAGAAAATTACAGGCCAAAATTCCTGGTAAACAAAGATGCAAAAATCCACAACAAAATACTAGCAAACCTAATTTGACAGCATGTTAAAAAAATTATATACTGTGATCTCTGAGATACAAATATAGTTCAATATGTACAATTTGATACGTCAATTTAACAGAATGTGGGATAAAAATATAACTATCTTAATAGTACAGAA